GCATAGAGATCTTTTATGACCTTGGAAAAATCATGAAAAGAATCCTAATAACATGTAGAATCAAAGCCCTAAATATCAAATCATGGTGAAATATCTATGCAAATGAAGAATCAAAAAAAGAAAAACACTATTTAATTAATTAAAAATAATACATGCATCAAATAAACTTGAAAATGTTTCCACATTGTTCTCCTCTTTTCACTAATCAACAAGTTTATTTTATTTTATTTTTATGATTTTTCTACACAAAGTTAAGGATTATTGAAGTTATGGCTATTTAATTAAATTAGAAAATATTTCTACTTATTCGCGTCGTCCACTTACGTGTAGAAGAGATGCATGTTGCCTTTGGATTGGGCGCCACCATCCGTGTCATGCAGCCCTTTTCGTACCGTGGCTCCATTCGGCGCGATCAGGACCGTCCAAGCGATACACGGAAGATCAGACAGCGTGTGGTCATCGTCCCCAATGAAGCCAACCTGAGAACCGTCCATTTTCAAACGCTGATATCTCACTCTATTCTTTACCAAATCAAGTGCGTTTTTTTTAAATTGCTCGTCTTGACTGGGAGAACACATCTATACAATTGATCGACACTTAAATGAACTCTACGCACATGGAGAATTAAATGAAGCTCAGTTTATGGTTAACTTTCAATACCTTGGTCCAAGAGGGGAATCCTCAATTGGGTGCTTGTGGAAGCTTTGTGGGGGTCCCAAGAGCCTAGGGGAGGGGCCCCCAGAGCCTAGGGATGGAGCCTCAAGTCATGGTGAATTGCCTAGATATGATTTCGACCAAGGCCAAATTAGGGGGTTGATCAAAGTCCACCTTAGGGTGCTATGGTGATGGGGCTTTTGTGGGGGATCATCTTCTCTTGTTGTTGGGCTGGTATGGGTGCAATTAATTTGAATTTATTGGAGGTTTGAGGAGTGTCCTGTTTCGGCCTAGGAATTGGGCTAAAAAATTGAGCTCTAACAGTGGATTTGGGTGGCTAAGGATGGGTTGGTTAAGCTCAAGTGGTCTCAAAGAAGCTTTGCAAGCAATTTGGCAGAGTCTCCCCAAGGAATTTCAAGCTCTCCCCCTTTGGCCATAGGATGGGGTTTAAATAAAGGGGCTTGGAGAGGCTACCTGGGGCAATTGTTGGGTGTACTAAGTTGCTTATGTGGATGTTAACAATGTGCAAAAATCCAATTGGGATGATCCAACTTGGATAGGTTTAATTTTGAGTTTTGGCCTAGGTGGTGCTTTTAAAATTATGTTTTCCGGCCACCAAGGTGGTTGACCGGCCAAGGAGGGGTCACTATCCCACTCAGGGAGGTCAAGGCTTGGTATTGGTGAAGTCAATTGGGGTTGTCCACGTATAATGGTATGGGATTGAAATAGTATGAGAAAAGGGCCATTTTGAGTTAATTTGGGTCAAATCATGGTTTGGGGCTGGGTTCACCCCTCAAGGCTGGTTTGGGTGCTGAGGAGAATCAGGTGGCTCAGCTTAATCATCATGGTGAGGTCTCTATCCAAAGAGATTTGGCTAAACATGAGTTAGAGTGATTCATGGGAGAGGTTAAGAGGATATTAAAGATATTTAAAAGTGTTTTAGCCTCTTTCCAATAATAGCTTCATGATGTGGCATGGCTCTCATGGCTTGCCTATGGCTTGGAAGTTGCTCCATGGCTTATCCTTGGCTTGGTCAACTTTCATGAGAAGGTGTTTGGAATTTTGAAATATTTCAGTGGAGTTTGGCATGAGGCTTGATTTGGAAAATTTTGATATGAATTTAAAACCTTAGGAATGTTTTTAATTGAATGAATGATGAGGAGAAATGAAATTATCATGTGGGCTTTAGACTTGGGCAGACTTGGGCTTTTGGAATTAAGAATTAAGTGTAGTGAGCTTGGGCTTTTGAAATTGAAATTGTATTTGGGACAAAATTTGGGCTAATTGAATGTTGAGCTTGGTGTAGGAATATGTTATAATGAATTTGACAAAATATTCAAGTGATTTTGAATTGAATTGGTGGGCCAATTTGATGGATTTGGGCATATATTCAAAATTAGGCTTTTTTGATTTAAATGAAATTGAGCTTGAAATTAGATCAAATTGGGTTTGGATTTTATTTAGATTAGGATTGGAGATATTGGATTTGGATTTGGAATTAAAATTGGGCAAAATTGGGGACAATTGGGCCAAGATTGAGGTTAATTTGGGGACATTTGGGCCTTTAAGGGCAAATTAGGGCTTTTGGTCAAATTGGATAAAATTGGCCAAATCTTAAAATTGGTCAAATTGGATAAAATTGGCCAAATCTGGTGAAATTGATGATAAAAAATTAAAATTGGGAATATTTGGGTTTATTTTGGAATTTTTGGGTCTGGGGGCAATTTGGTAAATTTGACACTTTTTTGGGGTATTTTGGAAATTTTGTAAATTTTGGTCAATTTAAGTAGTGGTGAGGGGTTTGAGATGATATTTGGACAAATTTGGGTATTTTGGATAATTTTAGAATTTTTGGTAATTTGGTTATTTTGGGCCAAAATGGGCCAACAAGCCATGAAGCCACATTAAACCAATAGGAACCATGTGAGGACTCATTTTGGATGCTCGATATGCTGGTTCTAACCCTCTTGGCCAAAGACTAGGGGTATAGGATCATCCATATGAGCCTCCCAAAAGGAGTCAGGCGACAAAACTAAGGGGTCCTAGAGTTCAGGGTGTGTGAGAGACTGTAGTGTGCGCAAGTTAGCCCCACCAAAACCAGATCACCCACGGTTAGTCCTAAGGTTTGACCATTCTATGGGGGACTCCCCTTGAGCTCCTCCCTACTGACCCCACCTACTAAGTATTAGAGGTTAGGACCAACATGTGGAACTTCAAGTTGAGCAAAGAAGGGTTTAGAATTTCTATTGGTGAGGGTTCATTTTCTAGTCCTCTAGGAATATTCTACAAGAAAGCCCTATGGCTAGACTCTAGGCTACTAAAAGAGGAAAAACTAGACCTCAACCAAAAATGAGGTCAACAAATGCATCTCCAATAGGTGTGGTGTGATGGGCAAGCACACCACGCGTATTGGCGTTCACTGACAAGATCAACAAAACCAACACAAATTTCTAAGTCAATAGACCTAGAATAAAGAGTAAACTTCAATGAGAATTGTTTCCACTGGGGAGTAAAAAAGATTCTCTCTGGAGAAAAGAAAAAAAAGATTTTGGGGACAACCGTCGATCAAGTTTAAAGTCCCAGTGAAGATTGAATATGTCAAAAGAGTTTTGGGTTTCGATTTGAAATTGTAGTATGGTGGAATTATGTGCGAGAGAACCAAATTGAGCGGAAAACACAAGCACAGAGAAGGGATTAGGATGTCCGCGCCTACCCCAAAGAGTATATATGTATGGGAATAGAACATCTGAGCCTGCCCCAAAGGAGTATATATGGGAATAGGACGTCTGGGCCTACCTCAAAAAATGTATATGGCAATAGGACGTCTGGGCCTAACCCAAAGGAGTATATATGGAAATAGGACGTTTGGGCCTACCCCCAAAAAATTTATATGGGAAGAGGACGTCTAGACCTACCCCGAAGAGTATATATGGGAATAGGACGTCTGAGCCTACTCCAAAGAGAATATATGGGAACAGGATGTCTGGGCCTATCCCAAAGAGTATATGTGGGAATAGGACATCCGGGCTTACCCCAAAGAGTATATATAGGAATAGGACGTCTGGGCCTACCATAAAAAGTGTATATGAGAATAGGACGTCTGGGCCTATCCAGAAAAGTGTATATAGGAATGGAACGTCTATGTCTATCCCAAAAAGTACATATGAGAATTGAATGCCTGTGTCCACCCCAAAGAGAATATACGAGAATAGGACGTCTATGCCTATCTCAAAAAAAATACATGGAAATAGGACATCTAGGCCTACCCAAAAAGTACATACGGGAATGGAATGTGTACCCATTCCAAAGAAAATATCTGAGAATAGGACGTTTATGCCTATCTCAGAAAGTGCTCATGGGAATAGGACGTCTAGGCCTACTCCAAAAACTATGCATGGGAATGGAACATTTGTGCCCACCCCAAAGAGAATATTTGGGAATAAGACATATATGCTTATCTCAGAAAGTGCACATGGGAATAGGACATCTGGGCCTATCCCAAAAAGTACATATGGGAATGGAATGTCTGTGCCCATCCCAAAGGGAATATTTGAGAATAGGACGTCTATGCCTATCCCAAAAAGTGCACATGTGAATAGGAAGTCTGGGCCTACCCCAAAAAGTACATACGGGAATGGAATGTCTGTGTCTACCCCAAAGAGTAACTTGAAAATAGTGTATAGAGCTTGTGATATTGAATTCACAAATATATGGCATGTGAAAATCTGCTAAAAATTTGTGGGATTTTTTGTGAGATTTTATGCAAAACATGTAATTTTGTGGGAATGTGAAGAGATTGGTGTAAGATCAGATAGTCGCGTTGCGCAAGCAAAGAGTAAGTAATCTAGAACTCGAGAGAAATAAACTCAACAAATTAAATTTTTTTTTTCTTGTTGTTTTTATCATATTTAATTATCAAAATATATTTTCAAAATATTTTTGCTTTGGTTAATTTTCAAAAGATTTTGAAGTTTTAATATCGAGCTTTCGTTGTATCATTCTTTGTTTGTATGGCTTTTCATCAATCACACAAGAGACTGTAATTTGAGAAAAAAGTTGAAACTTGAAAGAAATTTCATTAATCTGCTCCCAAAAATAAGCTACAAATTGAGTACATGCTGAATTATCAAAATACAACATGTTGGATATGTCTAAATCATCAAATACTAAATACATATCATGCACTAAAAATATCTGGTACATATATCATGTCTGCTGTGCAAAATGTGGCACAAAAAGTATCCTGTTGATCGTCTTTGACGTGGTGAGCTCCTGATAGAGATAACCTACTAAGCCATGCTCCAGGATAAGAATTCTCTTCACGTGTACCTAGAGGTGCAACCCTCTCATAACTCATATGGCTGCAACTTCTCCAGCTCAGGATCTGATAGGAATCCTTGTGGTATCTTGTCATCCCGCATTCCTCTGAAGGTTACGGAAACTCGGGGATGTCGCACTCCTGGAATGCAATTTTTAGCTAAATCAACACCATTTCCATCTAATACTAGAACCGATCCTAGAGGTAGTGGAATCTCAACTGACCCTCTGAATTCCCCTGGGCTAACAATGCCAATCTCTTTTCCAAAGAGTATATTGCTTTTGCTGAAAAAAGACACTGTGCAGAAGGGTCCAAAAAAATCATGATGGTCAATATGGGGAGGAATGCAGCTCCCCTCATCATAAATGTTGATGATGCAATTGTGTTGATGATGCAACTGTTTGGTATGCAGTCTGGTGGCAGTATACTCCATCGGATCAAATAAATCTTTTGACCATTTTGTTTATCACATAAAACATCAGATCCACCTCATCATATCTTAAGATACCACGGGGGCTTCCTTGCCTGTGTTCAGCTAAATTGTAGCAACAACCACATTGAATGGTTATCTTACCTTTCCCGTGCATCCATTTTCATGGTTCTGAATATGTTCTTGGCCTCAGTAAACTAGCTTGGCCTCTGGTTTGCAGATTAAACACATAGTCTAAAATCCTTTTCTCATCGCTCTCTGAGAAGACTCTAGTATATAGTGCCAAGCCTTCCAATATATTGACCATTTCACCTCAAACTTCCTCATATAATTCCAATTCTCTTTGTTTGACCCTGCACATTCTTTGCATCTCAACCGTAGGAATACATCAAACTATCTGGGTGTTGTCGGTCTTCTTGTTTCAACCTCTTCAACGACTAGTGTATTCTCTGTATCTGTAGTAGTGGAATGTATGACTCAATGTTTGTATGTGCTGCCTCGTGACCCTCCACTCTGGCGGAGTGGATTCTTACATTGAACTGTAGCAGTCTAAGTGTAAAATATTTCACCCTGGGCATTCTACAAATGTTCGTCCAATGGATGCTCCTGTGGGAAGCTCTGCATTACACATCGGACAGCCTCTATAGTATTCATGGGGTACATCCATCTACATTGGCTCTGTGGCTGACTCCAGCTCATCCTCTGTATCTGGTAGACTAGAAGAGGTTTCTTTTGTAGGTGGTTCATAAATTCTTCCTTCAGGAATTGGGGTAAGTAATCCAGCTGCTTCTCTTTGCTTTCTTCTTTCTTCCTGTTTGAAGGCTCTGACCTTGCGTCGGTTAGCATTGCGACACCGCGTTCTTTGAATTGGTGCGTCAGACACTTTATCCTCATTAGTGCTTATTAAATTCCTCGTCGGTGCAGTTATCAGGGATTGTTCGACTGGTCCCTTCCACCGAGTAATGTTGAGTGTTTATCTTCTTTCTCTTTCACGAGAGATCATCTTCAGCTCCAATTTTTAGTAGAGACAATAATCCTTCTTTTTTCTGTCGGCTAACAATGTCCATCAGGGGACCTTCATAATTCACATCAACCTGACCAAAGTAGAAATCAAGGTCTATGACGCCATCCTAAGCAGCCCTTTCCTTATCCAGTGTGAGATTTAAGCCATCTCTAAAGGAAAAGACCAGCTTACGCTCCGACAGTTCTTCTGCAGAAGATAGAAAACATCAGTGCACTAACATCCATCATGAACAAGAACAAAAATGAAGCATCAACAGTTTGAAAATTTGAAAATTTTATTTATTCAACTATTTTTAATTTAATTAGATTTAGAAAATAGAAAAATAAAATGAGCAATTTAAAAAAAAAAATCATTTTATTCACGTAAATTTATTATAAAATCTTGGACCCAATCATAGACGTTCGACCAATTAAATAACCCCAGAATAATAAAAAATTCAAAAAAAGAAAATTTTTAATTCAAGTGGCATCATGTCGGGTAGTATTTTGATACACAACAAATAAATACATTTTTAGACCCATATTTTTTACTTATATTTGGTGATATTGCACCTTAATGGAAGGTATTTTGATGTTTTATTCCAGGTAATTGATTTTTATGACTTAAAGAAAAAAGGAAGCAAAAAAGATGGAATTTGGAGTCAAAATGTTATTTTTGAAGAAGTACTCAGCGCAGACCCGACAAAGGCAACGCCGACGACACAGAACAACAGAATAGTTGAAATTTTTACTCAGCACCGATGGCACCAAACTAGCCCTTGTTTCGGCTCCCGCTTCTAGAAGGTTCAATGTATTTGAACGATTTTTGAAGATTTTTGGAGGCACCTCTTGGAGAACCAACCTTAGGCTTTATTTTGGGCTAAAATTCATCAGGAAATGGACTCCTTTTCACTCCAAAAGGTTCCACCACACTCCATTTTTGCCATTCTTCAAAATTCATCTTCATTCCCTAATCATATTGGAGTCCATTAGTGATTTTTCTTTTATAGTTTAGAGTTTGTGTGGTGAGATTTAGTTTGAAACTTTCTTGAAACTTTCTGTAAGAGGAGAAAAGTGAGAGATATCTTCTTCCTGCATTTCTATAGGGACTAAACACTGAGATTAGCCAATGATTTTCTATGCACTGTTTCAGGGTAGAGAATTAAAATTTCTCCTATTTGGCACAATACATTTTATGAACATTTATCTCATCTCATTTTACCGTCTTATGTCAGCAGAACCTCATTATAGTGAGAAGGATGCTTTTTCACATAAGAAATCTTCATTACATAAATAAAGTTAGTTGATTAGTATTTACTTTTTAAACTTTACATTTCTGCTTTGGTAATAGTTAAGTACTTTAGTTTTGATAACATCTCAACATTCAAAATTAGTGACAGTGATTTTATTTGATTTTCTGTTATTTTTGTCTGTGAATTTCTTAGTAAAACTTATCATTGCCAATTTACACCTTCCCGGTGGGATCGATATTTGGGGCTTTATTTGGGGCTTAAAAATAAAGTCCTTTATTACTTAATAACGATACATATACTTGTGTATAATCCAATTATTAATTGTCTATAATTATATATATTTTACACAACTTACTTTTCATACAAGGATCAAGTTTATGGCGATGTAGTGGTGTCAACTTCATAAATCCTTACATATAAAAAATTGGGATCAAGTTTTTGGCGCCGTTACCGGGGAAGGTAACGATTAAATTTAGGTAAATTAAATAGTTTTGAAAAATTAGAAAAGTTAGAGATAATATACATAATAAAAATAAAAAAAAAATACAAACAATCAAAAATCCAAAAAGAAATTTATTTAAGAGTGTTTTTTTTTTTAAATTTTACTTAGCTTATTTTATTTGTTTATGCAAAATATTGGATCTGAAGATTTAGGACCTTACGATTCAGAGTTAGAACGTACTATTAGAAAAATTCAAAAACAACAAAGAGAAATAAAAAATTTAAAAGAAATGGAAAATAACTTAGAAAATCCAATAAATGAGAATCGACAAAAACCTTTAAGAGATTATGCGAATCCGACAGCAGATGAACTTCACTTGACTATTCAAAATCCTGATGTTGCTGCTAATTCATTTGAGCTTAAAACTATTATTATCTAAATGGTACAAAATAATCAGTTTTGAGGATCACCTACTGAAGATCCTAACTTACATCTAGTTTTATTGAGATTTGTGCTACATTTAAATATGACAAAGTGACTAATGATGTTGTTAGGCTTAGACTTTTTCCTTCCAAGGCTTGGTTAAATTCATTAACACCTGAATTTATTAGAACTTGGGGAGAACTATCACAAAAATTCTTGGCTAAATATTTTCCACCCTAAAAAACCTCTATGCTTAGAAATAATATTACATCTTTTTGTCAGTTTGAAGGGGAATTGATATATGAAGCCTGGGAAAGATTTAAAGATCTTCTTAGAAAATATCCACATCATGCTTTGTTAGATTGGTTAGTAATTCAAACCTTTTACAATGGATTAGTAGGATCACTAAGATCTATTATAGATGCTGTTGTGGGTAGATCATTAATGTCAAAACCTTTTGATGAAGCATATTCTTTAATTGAAGAAAAGACTACTAATAATTTTCAATGGCCCTCTGAAAGGGTAAATCCTAAGAAAGTAGCCAGTATTCATTATTCTGATGCAATGTCTATTTTGACATCTCAAATTGCTGCTATTTGTAAAAAAATTGATCAAATAAGAGTGAACTATTGTCAATACCCTCAATATTAGAGGAAAATTCACTAGGACAGATTATTGATACTAAACCATCTTATGAAACTTTAAACCATCTTATGAAACTTTAAAACCATCTTATGAAACTTTAAACGATATAAATAATCAAAATAATAATCCCTATTCTAACAATTTTAACCCTGGATGGAAAAATCACCCTATTTTTAGTTGGAATATTATAACAATTCAATGAACCCCTCAGGAAATTTAACCAGTGATCCATCCGAATATTTGAACAATCAAGGAAATCCTAATTTTTAACCTTATTATCCTCCAGAATTTAACTCCAATCCTAACCCACAAGTTAAGGAAAAGAAGTTGACGATGGAAGAAGTGATGTTGAATATGGGAAATTAAATACAAAATCAATGGGATACTATTATAAATATTGAAAATCAATTAGGACATATTGCTACTGTACTTAGTAACAGACCTTCTGAAATTCTTTTGAGTACTGTGGAAGTTAACCCAAAAGATCAAAATAAAGAGCAAATTAAAGCTTTTTAATTATAAAGTGGAAAAGAAGTTTAAAGAAGGATCCAAAGAGAAACTGAAGTTGATGAAGAGAAGGAAGAAATGGAAAATGATCAACATGAAAATGAACAAACACAGGTTCTTTTAGAAAAACCATTACCTCCGTTTCCTTAAAGTTTCCTTAAAGACTTCCTCAAAGACTGAAGCAGAAGAATAAAGATATGAAATTTACCAAATTTTTGGAAATCCTTAAGAAATTAATAATTATAAAGTGGAAAAGAAGTTTAAAGAAGGATCCAAAGAGAAACTGAAGTTGATGAAGAGAAGGAAGAAATGGAAAATGATCAACATGAAAATGAACAAACACAGGTTCTTTTAGAAAAACCATTACCTCCGTTTCCTTAAAGACTGAAGCAGAAAAATAAAGATATGAAATTTACCAAATTTTTGGAAATCCTTAAGAAATTAATAATAAATATTCTTTGTGTTGAAGCTTTGGAACAAATGCCAAGTTATGTGAAATTTATGAAGGATGTACTAAATAAGAAAAGAAAGTTTACAGATAATGAGACCATTGCACTCAGTGAAGAGTGTAGTGCCATTATTTAGAAAAAGCTTCCTGAAAAATTAAAAGATACTGGTCGTTTTACTATACCTTATGCAATTGGTGAAAATTTTTATGGAAAAGCTTTATGTGACTTAGGAGTGAGTATCAATCTTATACCCTTATCGATGTTTAAATATTTAGATCTGGG